ACTAGAGGATACCCGGAGGCTTTCCACCCCATCGGAGAAGACCGCCCCTTTTCCCAAGACTTCGGGGGAGCAGAGATAAGTCTTGGTGGCGCCCGAGTGACCGACCGACCGTCTACGGTGTGATAATTGAATTGTACAATTATATTATTGTTCGACAATTAAATGAACTTGAAATAATTGTGCTTTCCCCATTTAGAATACCGTTCGTGCACGAGCTAAGGGGGAAGTTCGTCGCAGAACATATGGCCTTCGCCTTCAGCTGTGGGGATGTGCCAAGCAATCCAATATCAGTATTATCCAGAGGTTCCAATCCAAGAGCATGCGCTCAATAACAAACGCACCCTGGTATGCAGACCATTCACAAAGACCTGGGGATCCCTTTTGTGCAAGACGAGATCGACCGAATTGCTATCACACAAAAACTCACGGACACCCGGACGAGCTAATAGACCACCTCTCAAACGATGAAATCCCAAGGAGATTACGCAGGACCTGGCCAACAGTAAAATATTCACATCATACATAGTACATTCATCTTTCATCAATCTGTAAAATATAGGTATATTGGAGTGACATCAATGGATGATTATCTCCCTCAATTTTGCTTAATACTCCCCCAGAGTCGATGTAAATATTGTGATGGAACCGAATTAGCCCGCTAAAATTCGATTTAAATATTCCCGAAACCGACCCTGGCGCGACGAAAAAAGTCAAGATTGCGCTTTGTGTCGTTTCCGTGGAACACGTGTTTTTTTCCTTCTCTGCTCTACATTGAAATAGGCCATAATTTACAATAAAAGTGTCAAATATAACGCTATGCGAGGGAACTTAATGATCCCTATCGACTCGACGTCTCGGAGCACGGTCGATATTAACAATTTTCGCCTAGGATTTGTTTAAAAAGGCGACATTGCGGCAGAGGTATTTGTACTTTGGTTGAGAGCAGAAGTAAATGTTTACGTTCCGAATAGTGACTTCGACAATTACAAAGGTGATGTACTCGTTTTTTTCTCTACGTCTATTGCATCCATCTAATAAATAATAATGATATGACCGTGTTTGATTATTTGCCAATTTAATGTTATTCTCGTATACAGCATGATTATTGCATTTATAACACATTCTAGATACAACTTGCACTTTAATTATACTAGTCATACTTTGAATTAAATGCATAGAGATTCTACATAAATATGTTGTTTTCCAATTTACAGTACTCCTTTGGTCCAAGCGCTGGCTACATGAATTACTGACCGATTTACGTGTTTTTATTTATATTTAGATACTGTATGTTCCCTTAGGGGCGATATTCAATACAAGTATGCAGAACTACATTTTAAATTATAATTGAATTTATTGCAGCACATTTCGCTTTTGTTTGCCTGAATATGTTACTCTTTATTTACAGGGTGCTTTATATGGGGGCGAGTGACTAACGTTAGGTGGTTGATTGTTACATATTGCACTTGGCATTGAGAATTAATTACCTTATACTAATGTTTTACCACGACATGTTTCTTGGTTTTTGTTGTAATATGATACTATCGGTATGCTCCTACTATTTATTTGAACCGGGTGATTATGACTATTAATATTTGGCAGGGTGACTTGTTTCGAATATGTACTGTGCTATATTTGATATTGATATGTGATACCGATATTTAATATCTCGATTTGACGTAGCAGAGGCTGGCTAAAGTTCAGAACTGACATATATCTTTATGTTTTTTATGTTTTTTTGTGTCTTTGAAAAGAGCCATCTTGTCGATATTGCTAATCAATTCGTTTAGTCGATCCTTAACATGTGGTGACCTAATATTGGTTTTGTGTCAGTCTTTGTTATGCCAGTGCAAATATGTCAACTGTCAACGCCTACATAAATTCTATATGTTTTGTTTAGGATTATGTATGTGTGCGAGTTTGCGGATGGTTGCTCTGTTATTTTTGTTATGTCATTATTTGTCTTTTGATCGGTTACTGTCGGTACTCATGGTAGAGAGCCTGGCGTTCGGTAATTTATAACCCGGCACTTTATAACTAGTGGGTTGGACTGGCCTTAGAGATGTGTGAATGAATAAATTGGGGTGGTCCCGCTTAGTCGTACATGAGGGCGCTGGCTAGGCCCGGCCTCACTTACGCAAGGATTCGCTAAAAGCGTGCGGCGTGTTCTCGTTGCGACCTTTTGTTTTTGTTATCAATTTGGGGTATCCTTCCTATGTAAAAGGCTCTTCTGAGAGGCCAACTCCTAGCGATTTAATACAATACTGACATGTCATGACCAGAGCAACTAAAGACTGCTCGGTGTGGGATTTGGACTGGCCATCCAATATTCAAACTTATTATAATATTAATTCATTGTAATGTTTTAAGGATTGTTTTTTTGTTATGTGTGTGTGAAATATTGATTCTTTAGGGATTCCAGTAAAGCATGTGATTCGACATTGTGTTGATGTACTTGACAACATGCATTTATGCTATTACAGACAACTAAGTTTGCTATAAAGTTCAATATTAATTTGTTGGCTGGGTTTTTTCTTGGTCAGTTCTTTTTTTCCCAGCCTATTGTTATATTTGTATCTACTCGGTGACCTACCATTTTCTAAATTTAATCATACAATGCGAATTATTTGGATTAAATTTCCGTTTTTAAAGCATGTACTTGTTTTATTTGTATTCCTTACTTCATCCTCACTCCGACGAGCAACACATATCTTGTAGCGACTCTTGAAAACACAACGTAGTAAGGGGTCCTGTTATTCGGTTATTCAGGTTAGGAAGCTTTGTCTAGACGATCATGTGCCATGGGGTTCAGTTAGTTTGGGAGTGAAAGTTTTGAATTTTAAATCTTGAGTTGCGCAGTCTCTCGGGGATAGCCTGGATATATTACAATATGCAATTGATGTCAATTAAAAAATGTTCCAAAACCCACTCGTGGGTATTGCCGCGTAACACAAAGTATTGAAACGACGCATCGTCACCAAAAGCACACAAAATGTCGAATCTGCATATTGAAGCACGTCCACGTTCAGAGAAAGAGAGGAGTTAAATAAGTAAAATAAAGTTTCAAAGAAATATTACCATACATAAGAAGGTTGGCTATGAGCAGCCTGTGCAGTCACTGCGTATGCCCACATAATTTTTACTATGCGCGAAATGTTTATCTTTACTAGAAGCGTCTGTGGTTAAAATTTCAAAGCAATATCTCCACAAATAAGAAAGTCGGCATTGCGCAGTCACTGCGCATACCCACATAATGTTTACTATGTGCAAAATGTTTACCTTTACTAGAAGCGCCTGTGGTTAAAATTTCAAAGAAATATCTCCATAAATAAGAAATTTGGCATTGCGCAGTATGCCCACACATCACTGCGCATGCCCACACATTATTTTTACTATGTGCGAAATGTTTGCCTTTACTAGAAGCGTCTGTGGTTAAAATTTCAAAGCAATATCTCCATAAATAAGAAAGTTGGCATTGCGCAGTCACTGCGCATGCCCACATAATTTTTACTATGCGCGAAATGTTTATCTTTACTAGAAGCGTCTGTGGTTAAAATTTCAAAGAAATATCCCCATAAATATGAAAGTTGGCATTGCGCAGTCTGCGCAAAATATGGAGTTAAATGAAACTGATCGAATTGGGCAAATATAGACCATAACAGCTATCAATTAGCGAAAACCCGAAGTCTCTAGGTGGCTCAGGGGCCGAGATCTCGATGGAACGGACGGACGGACGGACGGAACACGAGCACATAAGCTTTACCTCAACTTCGTTGTGTTACGCTAAAAAAAGAGCTACGGAGTCATTGGTTTTGACCCATTTTCAATAAGCTTGTTATATGTGGTATATACCACACCACAACTGTGCAAAGTTTGAACTGAATCGGCCCAAGCGTTTGGCAGTTATGGTGTTAAGGCTTGTCTCACACTGGAAGCGTTTACGCGCGAACTGAAATACGCATGTTAACGTCAGAAATTGTACGTCCGTGTACGCACAAATCGCATTCGCACATTAGCTGCGTATCGATCATGAGTTGAGCAACTGTTCACAAACACAATCGTCTACAACCTGCGAATTCACATAAAAATCCGAACAAAATGGGATCGGTTCGCACGTCGCAATTACACGCACGTATACGGACGATTTATTAATCGCTAATGTGCGAAGGTCCGTTTGAAATCGTACGTTTGAATAGTTCGTCCGTAAACGTACGTATTCGTACGAATCCCAGTTCGCGCGAAATCGCTTCCACTGTGAGACAAGCCTAACGGACGGACAGACGGACACCATCAACTTCTCTACAAAGCATTGCAATCGCTTTGCTCTGCCGCTTAAAAAAATATTTGTTTCAGCATGTAGGTTAACACTGTCCCTGATTACATCGATTACATTTAAAATGTTAACCAGTTTAAAAATAATTGCCAAAATGACGTCAACGAATTACAAAAACTGAGAAAATGTAATTCTTTTTAAATAATTTATTACCACCGCGATAGTACTCAAATGTCGTTTTCCCACAATTAAATAATATAATATCATTTTTGGAATAATGGAGGGGTGCAAGAAGTAGAATATAAGTAATTATAATCGACATTTCACAATCTAATCCGGTGAACGCAAGAATAATTAACGAAATTAATCTGCGGTCACAAAATAAGACGTATATAGGGTTTTAACAATATACGTTTCTGTTTAATTAAACGCGAATTAACTTCGATTCGTCTTTTCATTTATACGTCGTGTAGGTATGGAAAAAAACATATTATCGATCGTACATGAAGAGCGAGTTGAATATGAAATTAATTAGTAGGGAATAAAAGTTACGTGGTTGTTCCAGTTTTTCTTGTCGTGTAATTCTAATTTCCACCTAAGAATTCTAGGAAATGAAACATTTCTAGCAGAAAAGTGAGGTAACTACCCTATTTTCAGTAAAATTTTGGGGCAAGGTGGTGGTTAATATTTTAGCGTGTGGATTTATTAGAATACAGGTGTAGAAGGACGCATGACCGTAGGAGAGGGTGCGCACACAATCATTTACCTGTACGGCGCGCGCGGGTGACAGTCTGAGACAAGCACTGGTTCAAGAACAACCCTTGGCGCCGCAGTTGCTATTACAGCACTGCAACACCCACTCACCTGAGCGCCCCACCCCCACGTGTCCCCCAGGCTAGCAAGTCACGCAGCGGCACAGTCGAGTTACGTTCGTATGATAGTTCGGACACCTGTTCTCTTATAATTTTTTGCCGACTGCCGTTAATCGCGATTCACGTACTATTTTTAATTCTGCAAGGGAAATCCTCCACTCAAATCAGCGCGTTCTCATAAACACGTGTATACATTCAGATACCTACTGCTTGTGTTGTGAATGTGTGCTGTTATTTTAGTAGTTACAAACGAGATCTTCTCCCGTGAATCGTGGATACCACCTTCAACACCACGAAGAGAGGCCGGCATCCTCTGGGAGGCAACGCGTCCCCACCGTCTGCCGCTACCCCACCGTTACTGAAGAGGGCGCGACACGATTCCGAATCGGGAACCACTGCTCTTATTAAAGACGATCAGGACATGGAAGCACCCTTATCTGTTACGTTGAGTCAAAGCATGGATTCAGTAAATACTGGCACGCCAGAGGAGGAGGTAAGTTGTGTCTTCTGTAGTTCGCATTTAAGATGAACTCATTGCTATACTGTCGTCCACCTAGACTAACTGGAACGGAAAGTAATCTAAGTCAACGACCTGTCTTACACTAAAAGTTGGTTATTAGAGTAGAGGTTATTATTAATACGTGCTTTATTTTATCTTTGATGTGCGAAATGATAATCGATGTACCTACCGTCCGTACGTGGATAGGAGGAACTGTAAGATGAAAAAACAACCAATTTTAAATTATTATTTGAATTGCACTAGCTTAAAATTTAAAAACTCCGAATTTTCCCAAATTGTTATTATATTATTGTAAAAATTCATAGCATGCAAACCGAAGTCCTTTCAAGGTGCATTATTTGCGAAAACCAAATTGACATCATTGTGCATGAAATTACTACGTACAATTTCCTAATTGTATCTATATCAAATTTGAACGAAAAAAAGCCATCACAACATTCTACGGACAGTGTAATCAAATCTAATTAGAAAAAATGCCAATGGTTAGGGATCTTTGGGATCAGTAGGTCACAAACTAGAGCGAGCAGAAAACCAAACAAATGTCGGTCTACTTCTATTTTCGATAGAGGTAAGTACTCATTGATTAGTTTGGAGGCCATAATTATGTTGGATAAGTAAATTATCACATTCAGAAAAAATGTTCAAAAAAGATTGATTAGAATGCGCGTAATTAGGTGGTACCTATATAATCCTCCGCAAAAGGAAGCAGTTGGGTTTCTAATCTGATAAAGAAACAACCTTTCCAACAAGGAGTTCGGGTGCTACCTGTATAAATCAAACGACCACCTTTTTCAAATACTTATTCTTTTATTTGTACAGCAGTGTCGTGAAAAATAAGAAATGCATTGCCACGAAGCTTTTTGCTTGCGAAATTTAATTTAGATCGAGAAATGTTAAAATTACTGCTTATGAAAATAATGACCTTAAATGTGTACCGTGAACAGAAGCACACCTGCAGGAGCCACTTCCTCTACCTTTTTTATGTGACATTGATCTATTAGAATTAAACACCGGTCACATTAACATCACTAAGCAATAATTATACAATTTTGAGGCTCGGTTAGGACAGTGTACAAAAATGTTTACTTCAGAGTTCAGACTTGTCACTGGAGGTGTTCCCGTTACCCTTGCTCCAAAATTCGCAAGTCTGAAAGTAAGCTTCATTTGAATGAATATCATTTACTTGATAACGCTGCTGAGTAATCAAACTAACAACAAATACATAAATAAGTAATCCATTACTGTCGTCAGGTCTCCTTGCGAGAAAGTCGGTTTCGTCTGCCGGCGTGAGAAGAAAGAAGAGCTAAGACAAATTAGAAAAATGCGTGGAATATGCCCGAATTATTACGTACCTGATTCTCTGCCTAATTTCCGTAATTTTCCGGTTTCTTAGTTTTGCAACGTTTGACGAGTCATGTTTGTCTCATATGCTTTTTAGATTGGCGATCTCGTTGACGGTTGCTGATTTTTCGAGTATAACCATGTACATGATTTTATTAATTGCGGTCTATCTATACTAATTCCACCAAATACAGGTAATTTCAGTCACCTACTACCTCGCGGCTCGCCTACTACTATTACCATAGTGATTTCGCGAGTTATTTCGTTAATATTCACTAAAGTATATACTGATTTAACTGTTTGTAGTGTTATAACTGGCAATTTAGCAACACTGTCACTTATAAGTATCATAACTCATAAGTCATTTAAAACTGACAATCACCAATTGTCACTTATAATTAACAATTTCCAGTTATAAATGACAATAATGACTGCTGGTGACAATATTGTCATCAGTTGCGACAATTTACGATTGTCATTTGTAAGTGGTAATTCATTATCACTTAATCGTAAAAATGTTTGTTGTAAATTTAGATATGTAACGATTTTTAAAATATATCCTGTCGACTGTAACTGTCAATTTCCCGTTTTTTTCGGCAATTAGTTGTGAAAATGTTAGCGCACTGATATATTTTTCGAGATATTTTTTAAATCGATCTCTCTCATTAGAAAAAATAATATCACAAAAGTAAATGGCCCAAGATTTGCCACTAGTTAGTTGTGGAAATAAAAATGTTGGCAGTTTATTATGGTTTTTTAAAAATTGCCCGCTAAGCTGGTTATCATGAAATATTGTCCGGTTTTTGTATGTGCGTGGTCCTTTATGCATCTATAATTTTGACTTCAACATGAGTTTTGTACAAGAGATACTAAAATCGTTATATAGTGTGTAGCTCGGTGTGCGTGTGTAGGTAAACCAAAGTAGTTTCACCTCGAGGCTCACCCTGGTAAGTTAATAAGTTTGAAAGAATTGGGGATATATGTAGATATAAAATGGTGGTAGGTGATATGAATAAAAACAGAGGGAAATACGAATTGAATATTCTAAATTTATTCTATTTTCCTATCACTTGAGACTACGCATTTAAAAATATAAATGGCACACCGTATATATTTTTATATTTTTTGGATTTTACAGATACTTTTACACTAAATACGTTGTTTTCGATAATGTATACGAGGTTGGTTACAAAAATAATTAGTAATTATAACTATAACAGAAAGAAATTGACTATTTTTATCTCGATTTTTATTCAACCGTAGATTGGCAAATGATTGTAGTCGTTTAATAAGTATATACAGAGAACAGCGCTTTACAAAATACTCAGGTGAATCCTCGGGTGAATCCGAGGGTGAATCAGTATCATCTAATTTGAAAATGTACTTTTGTACTAATGTTGAGACTAATGTAGAGTCAATGAAGACCAATTTTGCTCTATTCATAGCCATCTAAATTAAAAAATAATGTTAATTTTTTGTTTGACCAACATCGTACAAATTGCTTAAAGAAAAATATACAAAAAATATAAAAATTTAAGTACAGAGTGTACCATTTAACATTCCAAATTTAAGGTCACTTTAATGTTTATACACATTTTTACAAACCTGGTAACTCACAGTTTCACACACGATCTAACACTGACATGACCTAGCACAAATATAATTCTTGTTCTTCAAAAAGACATCCGTTTAAAAAAAGGGGAACAAAAATTTTAGTTCCATAACTAATCAGCGGCAAACCAACGGCACATTACTAATATAGTCGCCGCTTATTTTTTTTGAAGTGGCCTCCCTAGGGCGATGAACATAATATGTTATACCGGCGGTCATACCCCTTTTAGATTTTAAATCTCAACACTTAAGCGTAGGATGGACGAATAGAAATAATTGCCGAAATTTTATAAGTATATGTATCTGTATTCCAAACTTGTTATTGTTATTTATATTTTTTTAAAATTAATCAGATACTATTAGTACGAGTAGGTATATATTATGCTACTCCTACAAAACTTTAAAAACCGGGTTTGCGGATGCTTTTACCAATCATAACAACTCGTTAGATACGTTTGTTATAGTATATTAAGTATGGAGAACGGTAAGGGATTTTTACCGTTCGAAGACAATTGTTTGGAGGAGGAGCGGAGCGACGACTCCAATTATTGTCTGAGAACGGTAACCCTTAACGTTCGACGTGCTTATAACATTTTTTGCGCGATCGAAATTAAAATTATTCAACCAATATAAATATGCACTAAGAAATTAACGAGCAGAATAAATCGAAATGATCGAAGTGGTATGGTGTACATCACTAGGTAACCAGTTTATTTGTCAAAATTGAAATTAATAATTTCATAAAATTGTGCATGTGTCTGATGTAGTTTGCTAGCTTTGCACTTCCTTTATGACTTTATGAGCCAGGTATTTGCCGGTGCCCGAATGGTATGTCGAAGATTAAATTAAAGATTAAATGTAATGTAAGACTGTTAACATTGAACTGATTGTTTTTAAAAAGGCGTCGGTAAGTATTTTTGCTGTTCTGTTTTCAGATCGGTAAGTAATTTTGGCGTCGTCGTAATCATAGCAACTGGTAAATTCCACTTACTGTCATGGAAACACACATGGTAAATAGTCAGAAATGACCGATCGCGCAAAAAAATAATAGCTAATTGCCGATATTAAACCTCGTATTATTAGTACTATACGGTCCGAAGATAGCATTTCGTATACGTAGTGGCACAGTTGCCATCCTGAAATTTTGCGGGAAACATTATTTTAAATTTTGGAGGTACGCTGCACACGAGTATGTACATACATACATATTTTAGTATATATATTTATATTTTTAATTTTTTATAAATTGGGAACGGTTCATGATGGCGACTGTGCGTTATTTTGTTAATGGTGAAGGGGGTAATATGATAAAATAGAAACAAATCATTGAAAAAATATGCCGTAATCGAGCACGTTATTTGTTAATAATGCAAAAATTAAAACAATCGCAATTCGGCATTTCGGCCTCTAAATGGTAAACCGCAAAGTCAATTTATTTTCAGAGACGAATAGAAATGTTCAAGGGTTTTTATTTGTTGTGACACGGGATATGATCCTAGAGTCCGATAGGGTGATCATAAAATCAACAGGGGGGAATGAAATGAAAATCACCATCGTCGGTAGTTCTGGTCTGGTAATACGATTTGTGAAAACTGCCAGGTTCCGTTCCTCAGTGACTAATTTATTCCAAGTTAGAGACTCGCCCGAGATGACGCATCTTAACTTTTCCCAACGAGTTTATTTTTGCAAAAGAAGAGAGTAATATGCTTGTACACGTATAAACGTTATTTTTCCCGAGAAGATATTTGTTTCTGTATTTTCATCCCTCCTGCTTCAATTCTTTCGACTGAAATAAGTTTTTTTTTTTAAATTGGAAATGTACACCTTCGCAAAATATCGATCAAAATAAATTACTTGACTTGAGATCAATGCATTATCGAATATACAGGGTGTTACATGACCGCATGCAAAAAAAATTGGGTGATAGAGGGTATCAACACCAACACTTTTTCCAAATAAACCGATGGTCCAACGTGTTTCGTTTGGCAGCCACCCCCAAAGAAGTGATGAAATTTGGATAA